CTCGATCTATATAATAAATTCATTGTTCAATTTGATAAATATATCATTACTATTGAATCAATGATATATTTATCAATATGATATTTTTTTTTCTTGTCTTGAACAATAATTATTTATAAGAATAGTTATTTTGTTCGTATTAATAAAACATTATCATAAACCCTTGATAAAATTTCTCTTTCAATTTTGATTGAGGTTTTTCTTTGGGTGCGGTGATATCTATATCGAACACACCCTTCGCAATCGAAAAAAACAAAGGAAAAACACCGAATAGCACAAAAAAATGACAAACCAGATAGGGTGTACGTCGAAAACGGAACAGAACGCGCTATTAGTAATGCATTATGCGGCCTTGTCACAGTGTCAAGGGCAGGGAAGACACCTGACGACAACCGATTGTCACATTCGTAGGCGGACGGCTGATATCGAGAGAGACACGGGTGAGCGCCAGCCTAAAGCGTAGGTCGGTGCTGTGTCATAGGTTAAGACATTATGTATCTATAAAAACGGATGTATAATGAATTGGTCATTTTTGAAAAAGTTGTAATAGTTTTAAGTAAAAAAAATTTAAAAATTTCGAAAATTTTCGATTTTTAAATTTGTAATTTTTTGGATATTTCTCCTATTTACGTGGAACGAAGGAAATTTTTTCTATTTTTGAGGTTATTGTCTTCGACTAGATACGATTTGTGATCTCTTGACGTATCATTGAATGAAATCGGTAGAATGAGAGCTGAAAATGATGGTAACAGACACAAAAAAAAAAAATATTAAAAAAAAAAACGTCTCAGTAAAATTGATACTTTCTCATCTTAGCATCGAAGCTAAAAATATAGAATTATAATCAATTTAAACTGTGACTGATTAATGTATATCACAGCTTGATTTGCAATTTCTTTTTGAAAATAAAATATTCTGCTTATATCGTATATGCTTAACTCTTTACATTTGTCTATTTGAATACTACTTGTTTTTTTTGAGTATTAGTTTATTTGATTTTCTTTAGAATTATTATATACATTTTTAAATGACATAAGAGAAAGATATGTGTCCGGTAATTTACCACCAGTCAATACGAGTAAAGAAGTAATGAAATTCATTGGAGTGTTCATTCATCGAGGAGGACATTCATCGAGTATTACGAAAGATTTCGAAATTTGCTGTACTATGTTTCATGAGAGATTGTTCGTGGTGGAAGAACCTATAGTAATATTTTTACTTTATTTTATTTATTTATTTACATTTTTATAAAATAAGCAAATTGTTGATGATTCTCATAGAAAAACTATTAGAGTATTCTACCGTTTTTGCTGAAGAATTGAAAATTTTATCAATTTTATATTAACCGAGACGTTTATTGAAAATGTAATTTTACAGAATGTTCTAAGAACTTTAATAACTTTTGATCCAGTTAATAATTTTTGGTTATAATTTTATTTTTAATATTTGTTAACTATGAATTGATAAAAGAATAGAATAAATAAAATATTTTCTTGCTAAATTATGGTTATAGATAATGTAGATAACTTTTTCTATGAAAATGATTAATTTCTAATTAAGTGCATGTTATTCAACTTATTAATTCAAATAATAGATGATAGAAAATCTCTTTGGTATTTATTTATCATAAGTTGAAACAAATATTGTGGTTTTATTCAAAATAATAAAACCAATGTCGTTTATTTTATTGAAATTTAAATTATTTGAACACTTCACTTTATAATCTGACGATCATTTTAAATCGAAATTAGCTTAAATTTTTCATCAAAATCATTTAATTTAAAATGTTGTTAAATTTATTAATCAATCGTTCTTGACTTTAAATCTATTAATATAAAATAAATTTGTCTGAATATAATATTTATTTGGTTAGTTTTTCATAATATTTATAATATACTCAAGTTTATTGCCTGTAGTATTCTGTAATAATCAAATAAATATATAAAAAAATAAATATTAGGATTAATATTAACCAAGCTGGGAAGCTGGATTTGGTATAATGGTTTGCATTGAGTTTCTATCGTGGTTCGTAAAGATCGTGAGTTTATAACAATAAAGAAAAGTAGTTATAAGATAAAAATTATTAGTAATCTTTTTCGAAGTGTAGGAAATAAATAAATTGAAAAGCTCCTTTAACGGTAACACTGTTATACTGATGTATTCTAGGAGTGGCGTTGGCCTCCTCTCTGACACTTAGTTGGAGTGTCTAATAATGAGAACTAGTTAATAATGATTAATTAGTTTGAAAATAATATGACTATGTTTTATCTNAAGTTTGAAAATAATATGAATATGTTTTATCTATTGCTTTATTATTCATTACTCAGATTATTAATTCTGAAGAAATGGGTAATATAAATTCACTTACTTTGTATTATCTGTTGATCGCTATTTCAGCCATAATTCGCAAAATATGAAGAAAACTAACTTGTACAAATTGTTAAATAGTAAAAATAAATAAAATTTAAACATAAAATGTTAATTAGTCAGTGTCGAGTAAGACTCGAACTGGCTCTTTTGAAGAATTTAACCTTTTTTAAATGATATCTGATATTGATTGAATAAATATTGTCCTTTTTATTATTAGTTTATTTAAGATTGTAAATTTTTCATTAATAAATGTATTGTTGTGTAATGCAAAGCATTGGGCATATTACGTTAATCCCCTACTTAAATTTCAATAGAATCATAGTATTTTTAAATGAATTATAGAAAAATGTTGATTTTATTTGATGCTATCAATTAAACAATTTTATAGCATATTATTCATTAATTATCGTTATAACAAAATAATTAATTAAAACCATATAACCAAATTACATTAAATATACAGAAGCCAAGAATAACAAGGTAGAAAAAAATATATTATAAAAACATAAGAATAAAATGTTTAGGGTAACAAATGCAACAATTAAAAATATATAATCAGAAACGATTTATAAAATTTCAAAAAACTTTTTGACAACAGCAATAAATTAATAAAGAAATATAACTTAAACCACGATAAGTTAATATAAATTCTGCATTAATTAAATATTTTTGTTAAATTCAGCTTTTAGTCTGCATAAATATAAGACAGTGTATAGTAATTTATCACAACGATGTATAAACAAGGTATCTAACATTCAAACAGCCTATATATTTTTTCAAAAGAGAAATAACATATAATTATCATAATATTAATATAGTGTTCATTGTAAGAACAGACTAGAAGACATAGAAATATTAAGTGGAGACATTTTCTAAAATTGGACAATTTTAACAATAAAACAACTAATCCTAGATAATAATTAATAATTGTTATCAATAATTATTCAACAACAACTCAAAGATATTTTCATAAAAACCTTATTGTGTGTATACTCTGCTAAAATTGTTTCAAACTTTAAAATGCTATAGATAATAATAGTAAACAATTATAAGAAATTTTTTTACCACTTTTTTATTAAAATATATTCTACAAATTGGCTATCTGGAAAAAAATGTTTTATATTTTTCAAAAATAAAAAAAATATATATTATTTATTATGAAAATATTAATTGACTAAACATATTACAAATATTAAATAAAAGTAACAAAACATATTAACTGGATCAAAAGTTGTTCAAACGTGCGAAACCATTCTGTATAAATAAACATTGTTTATTTATGTGTAATATTATAGACATAATAAAAAATATAACTGAACAATATCAATAGAAATTAATTAGTGTGTAATATTTAAAGTTAACTGAAAGTAATGATATTGTTGCCATGGCTTTAAAAAAATATGGTTCAGCTTTTGATATGCTGTATGACTGCTTCAAAAAGTATCATTGTTTAGATGACCGCACGTTACCAAAAGGTAAGTAATATACTAATTCATGATGTATCAGACGAATGTATCAACAGGATAAAAAAAGTTATATAACCAAAGTCGCTACTTATATTATTTCTATCTTATCATTAAATTAAAAACGCTATTTTGTTTAAAGATAAATTTAGCATTTTTTCAAAAGAAAAAAATTATAATACAACATTGTAATATTGTTTATAAATTAAAACATTTTTTTCATTACAAATATGTAAAATTGTTTTGAAAAAGAAACGAGTGTCCTGTTTAAAACCGAACACGATACTCATCTCATATTCATTATTTTTTATAATATTTACTATACTTTTAAAAATAATTTTTACTTTTTTTTCATCTCCTAAAAATCCACAATTTTAATCTCTTATATAATATTAATAAAATAAAATTTCAGAGGGAAACTATTATTTGTTCCGTGATTTGACCATCACTATGTTAACGGAAGTTATATCTGAAACTTCTAATCCCCAAAATATTATTAACCGTTTTCAAAGAAACATTGCACCAGGTAATAATCCGTTTGGGAAGTATTGTATTGCAGCTTATTATACTTTTTTGATATCTGAAAATAACGTAAGTATAAACAATAAGAAAATTATTAAAAAATGTGTAGACTGATAGAATTATAAACTTATTACGTTGATATAATTCGCTATTATAGTGTTATATTGATTATTGATATACTTTTATATGATTTTCTAATAATTACATTAACGCTTCTTTTCATTTCAAAGGGAATTTTTTTTGCAATAACTGTTGATGCAATAATGAATTTAATAACATTGAAGAATTTACCTCGAGCTAAAACAGCGCTGTACAATTGCTTTACGAACAATAATTTATTTCATTTTATAAAAAATCGCAGTAAGAGAATTCTTCATAGAAAAATTTAGTTTTTCTTTAATAAGTAACCAAAGTTTATTAAAAGTAATTTTATTTATTTATTTTTAACATAATTATAGGATCTTTTAATGAAGCTTTAAATGGTTTAAGAAAAAGAATTGTTTCTGCCGAAGTCCTCTCTATAAATGTTCATGACGAAATAATTAAATTCATAAAAGAAGACTTATCAAATTTTACGAATGAAATAATCAATTGTTCCACTATTTTTTATTCAACATTGTTTGAAGTGACAGAACCTGAAGTATGTATAAAAAAAAATCTTAGCTTCTCCTCGAAGCTAAAATAAATCAATTATTATTTAACAAAGTTGAATCAATAAATGTAAAAGTCTGATATTGATTTGCCTTTCTACCTGAATTTACATCTTTAATAAAAAATAAATTACAGAATTATTGGGCCGTCATATATAAAAATAACGTCGCACAGTTAGATAATTTATGTAATAAATCATAAAGAATAAAAAGAGGACTAGAGAATTTCTGATGAGAATATATAAAAAACGGACATGTAAACTGTTACGTTGCTTTATAGAGGTTTAGCCTAAATACCCTTCAACAATATCCTAAGAGACAAACCTTCTTCTGAACTGACCAAAACAGGATTCAGAAGTATTTGTTCAGTAGCCTACGATATTTTAAATTAGATTAAAACATTCTATTTTAGTTAATAATGTGTACTGTATTTTTACGATATAACTTTTACATTTTACATACGAATAAAACTTAATGTGTGTATAAGTGAGCCGGACTTACCGTCCTATGTCCGGTTTACGATTGACTTACATCAAAATTCTACGTCATACCGCCCCCTGCCAATTTCATAACAATGTATCTCTTGTTTTCCCTAATATCAACCAAACAGCTCTCTTTGATTATCTTAATCAATAGAAAATTTAACCAACAACAACAAAAATATATATACTTATATAAAAAATAACACAAAAAAAATTTTAAAATGGCCAAAACATAACAAAATTATTTATATTGACAAACATAAATTATATTAATCAAACTATTTCGTACGAGGCAGCTAGACCATAGGGCGGCTAGTTATGCACCACACTAGAATGCCATTTTACCTTAAGCCTATTTAAATCACTATTATTGAAGCCGAAGAGGGGTCATCTAGGTGGAAGACGGCTAACCGCACATTCAATAAAAAACGATAGTAGACAATAATTAAATAACAAATAACCACATATATTAGAAGTTCTAAATAATTACTCAATGACTTACGATAATGAACTGTACACGGATAACAATTGACAAGAAGGCCATCGATTTGCCGTGCTGGGTGGGCAAGTGGGTGAGTAAAGCAAAGACGTTAGAGATCAGCTGTCACACGATATAATATAATCAACAGTGTTTGTGACAACTAGATCTTTGCTAATGGCGTTCTCTACCAAACACAATCAATTTCAATCGGCAATCGACTTAAATTTATATCTGCTCGTAAATTCCAATTTATTTTCATTTAATGTTACGGTATTAGAATTGACAGGCCATTCATCTTCATCATTACTGAGCCATTCTATCCGGCTCCTCCATCATTCATTTCAAGGAAATTATTTCGCCTCACAATATAATATACGCCGGTTTTTCCTCTCATCTTACATGCGCCCATTCCATCCAATCGAATAAACTTTGAATTTCGCTCACTCTGTTTGTAATAAAAGTTTTTGATTGACTGGATGATGACGCTATTCACGTTAGTGTGACTCTTGAATCACACCAAAAAACTTTCTTCTGAATATTTAAATTTAATTCTGGTATAAATTTTTTAAGGAGCTACACTAGCAATAACATAACACATAACTCCAAATGCGGTAGTGTAATTGTTTTTAATGGTGCTACCTTGGACATTACGCCAATAAGGCGTACTGTACGATTTCCATTACTATTTGTGCATACTAAATACATACATGCCCCGTAGGTCTTTAATGATGTGTCAGAAAAACCGCGTACCTGTATATTAATAAAATTATCTATTTCACCACACCGTTTTGCTATTGTGAAGTCATTCAATAATAATAAATCGCTGCTATATCTATGTCACTCGTTTACTAATTCTTATGATAACAGCTTATCCCACTCGATACGCGATTGCCATAATATCTGTATCAGTGGCTTACATTGTCATACTACATAATATAATTATCAGTATCGCTTAAAAAATCAGTTATGTTAGACACCAATTTTGACAACTCCATTCCTGCTTTGTCTAATACGGTAATAAGTTTACCTTGCAAATTAATAATTTCTTCAATTGATTACAATCTTGTAAAATAAATTATCCATATAAAAATCACGATCAAGCATTTCGCATGCCTTGAAATAATTTGTTTTTTTCTTCTTCAGCTCACCTTTTCAAATTAGCAGTGATTTAAAAATTAATAGGTGCTGTACTATACGTTATAGTTTCTAATTGAAGTGTTCAAATGAAATCCTCCGTATTTTCACACCATAATATTTGTTGGTACTAATACGGCACCACGCTTTGCTCTAGGCGGGCTTTCACTCGTGTCTCTTCGATATCAGCCGTTCACCTATCAATAAGACAATTGGTGGTCATCGTGCATTTCTCCATCCTTGACATCGTGACAAGGCCGATTTTGTATTTCTGATTATGCGTTCTGTTTCGTCCCGACGATTATCTTGGCAGTTACAAATCATTCGATGTCAAACTTAGCGTTAGATTAATTTTATTCCTAGTGTGCCACCCCGTTATCGTTCCGGGATTATCTTAAACACTGCTTATTTTTATTTTTCTTAGCTTGATAACAACACGCTGTATTTTTTTTTAGCTTTATATATGTATATAAATATATATATTCGTTTATCATATTTATATTTGTATTGTGCGATTACATAAAAGGGCTTTTGCTTTTCTTTTGATTAAACATAAAAGAAAAAACTATGTTGACTTTTTTTTTAATTTAATTCTTTTAGGCAGTGTCGTTTTAGGCAGTGATTTTAGGAAAATCTTATTCAAGATATTAAGAGAAAAAGGAATTGATTGGAAATATAGACGACACATCTTTAACTTATATAAAGATCAAACAACAGAAATAAATGTAAATGGATCGGTAAAAGAAGCTAGAATATCGAGAGACAAGAATGCCCCTTGTCAATCTTTTAATTGAAATGAGCATAGATATAATTAAAACTAACACTAATAGAGTGAAAATAAATTGTCAACATATACACTGTATTCGCTTTGCGGTTGACATTGTTATCTTAGCATAGTCTGAACATGACATGAATAATATGCTATCAAATGCACTTGATAAATTTAAAATGAAAATAAATTCCATGAAAACCAAAAAAATGCTTATAAGTAAAATGCGCTCAGATCTAAATCTTAATATGCAAATAAACAATACACGATTACAACAAGACCAAGAATTCTGCTACCTTGAAAGTATTATAGCTTCCAATAACAAATCTACTCCAGACATCAGAAGAAGAATAGCAATAGCATTCCGTAACAAGATCAGCTTCTCACCAATAAACATCTGAGCATTGACACACGTAAAAGATTCGTTAAAACATTTGTCTGGAGTGTGCTTTCACATGGCAGTGAAACATGTAAATTTGACAAGAAAGACAGAAGCAAATTAGAAGCATTAGATTTATGGATATGGATACAAATGACAAAGACCAAATGGATAGAAAAGAAATGGGCAAGTTTTAGAAGAAGTACGAGAAGAAAGACAGCTAATGAAGGTGATTGAACCAAGACAAATAAAATTAATCGGACACATCATCCGGCACAATGACTTTATAATCAACATCTTCGAAGGAAAAATAATTGGAGAACGCCAAAGGAAACAATATTTTGAAAATATTCTGGAACTCATGAACTGTGCGTCTTTTGTCTCACTGATTAATTTGACGTCAAACAGATACGAATGGCTTCAACGACAAGGCATTGCCTTTAATAGATGATGATCTAATAATGTATATTATTATTAAAAGAAGTTATTTTTCGGTTATCGATAATAACATGGGTTTATGAAATGTTAGTCGATATAGTCTGTGGAGCAAAATTTGAAGCCCACACAGTTTCTCCGTTAATGTTATCACTTTTTGGAATTGAAGCCACACTTCCATTTTATTTCACCTGCTCCTTTCTTAAATTGTGTCATCATTTTTTAGCTCACAAACAAATTTCGTGAATTTAGTTAATTGTACTTATAGCTAATCTCTTCGACATATCAATCCTCTAAAATCTGCCATTTTTTCTTACTCGATAGTTTACTAATACGTATACCTTATCTATAATTAATTTATGTGATACAGCTGTTCTACAAATACAGCGGTGCTACTCTTTATTTACTAATGTTACAATTGTGTTTTATACTCTCACAAAATAAAAACCAGGTTTCAAAAAGACGATTTCGCTTATAATAAACAATATAAATGTTATATAGAAAATTTTATTTTTATTCCGAACTCACTCAGTAAACTCACCTGATCCCACAAAAACTATTTCTATTTATTTAGAAAGCAAATACAAAGGAACTTACCGACTTATTTGTGCTGAGTCCTATGGCTTTTTTTTCTTTGTTTGAAAAATAACTAATAAAAATATCCGACGTGGTATTGCAACGCTTTTTTTCCAATCTTTTCGAAACGAAAAAATAAAGCTCTCTATTTTAGTTAATAATGTGAACTGAATTTTTAAGACATAACTTTTAAATTTTACATATGATTAACTTCAGGTGCACGTAAATGCGCCGGACTTATCATTCGATGTTCGGTTTACGAATGACTTACGTCAAAAACCATTCGTCGCACTGAACCCTGCCTATTCCATAACAATATATCACTCATTTTCCCCAATATCAACCAGTATTTATATCTTTGTAAAAATATAAAAGGGCGGTAACCCAATTTGCCCCGGCGATATCGCCCTAAATAAATGCAGCATAAAAAATATCTTCGTAACTTTTTCTGCGTCGACTGCCGGCCCTATGTTCGTAGAACAAAGACATTAAGCTCAAAATTAGTTACTGAAACCACATTTTGATTAGCTTTGCAATACAATAGAATTAGTACTAATAATTTAATAATCTACCTTGAGAATTAATGAGAATGTTTATTAATACTGTTAATAATAAGTATTTGTATTTTTTTCTAGATTTTAGAAAATGAAAACGTGTATGATCTTGTGTACAAAAGATATGATGTAGCAATAGATGTTCTATATGACTGCTTTGAAAAGTATAAATGTTTTTCAGAAATTCGAAAAAGTAAGTAATTTTATACAAAAAAATGATGTAATAGTCAAATCTATAAGCAAGATAATAGAAAATTATAAAACCAAAGTTGTTACTTTCATTATTTTAGCTTCGATGCAAAGCTGAGGAGGTATTAATTTTACCATGATGTGTTTTTTTTTTCCAATTTTTTTTCAGTACTCACTGGATCGATTTTGATGAACAATATGTCAAAAGATAACAATTCGTATCTAGTTGAAGACATTATCCGTAAAAAATGAAAATTTTCTCTCGTTCCCCGTAAATGAGGCAAATCTCCAAAAAATATTACAATTTTTAAAATCAGTAAATTTCGTCATTTTTTTCACTTTTAGCTTCGATGCGAAGCTGAGAAGGTATTGGTTTCACTAAGATGTGTTTTTTTATGTCTGTTACCACTTTTTCTCAGCTCTCACCGAACCGATTTCTTTCAATGATACGTCAAAAGATCACAAATCATATCTAGTCGAAGACATTACCCTCAAAAATTGAAAAAAATTCCCTCGTTCCCCGTAAATGGGGGAAACATCCGAAAAAATTACAAATTTAAAAATGGCTGGTTTTTGAAATTTTTTCAATTTTTTTTACTAAAAACTGCCGTAACTTTTTTAAAAATAAACATATCAATATAATTTTTTTATAATTTTACAGATGCATGATGTCATTACCTATCATTTGGTATATTTCTTTTTTATATCTGACCCTTTACCTGCCCACAGGGGGGCTTTAAAATGACAACTTTTTTACAAAAAATTAATTTTTTCAACTTAAATTTTGAAAGTGTTCCGGAAGGTCTGACACTTTTATATATATCTTAAATTAAAGCTAATGTAATATACTTTAT